ACTGGTCTGTTTGATTTTTCGATTATTCCACAGATACGCCCCTTGGTCGGTTGCGCGGGATGTGGGTAACACCGGCTTCGTCCAAAAAAATGGAAATAATTATTCATCAAATACCAAGTCTACTATAACCTTGGCTTTTGCTTGGAGCACTGCCGTTGTCTATGTACCTGATCACAGGGACATCCCAGGCAATTGGATCGCGGACGGACTAACAAGTTAATGACCCTTTCTACCTAGGATAAAACATGCATACGATGCGGGTTTACCTCTGTCCATAGCAAATTACTTGCTTTTACCAGAGAAGTTGACTCCAGATGGTTGAACGAGATAACGAGAGACGTAACCAAACAGCTATGGCCGATGTTGGACGCGAAAAAATCAAAACATCTTATCCTTCTAGACCGGTTCTCCATTAGAATAACGAAGGGCATAATAACTGGACACCGTTTAATGGGGCTTCAAGGGAAAAGAATGAGATATCACTCTAATGATTTCTACCGCAGCTGCAGGGATGGATAAAAGGAGGAGACCATCGAGCGATACCTCTGCAACTGTCCAGCCTTGACATCAGCGCCACACAGATTCCTCGGGAAGCATTTCTTCGACTGTCCCGCCTCGATAGTCTGAGCATATATTGGAAATCTCGTTGCCTTTATAGGCCCACGAAATGGTTCGATTATCTGAAAAGGTGAAAGCATTGGAGTCTCAGCGGTATCACAATGGGCCTATTTGTCTAAGTATGCTGATAGCGACCAGCAGTCGCATCAACTCAACTCAACTAATTAGCTAATATGTGAGACCAACTAGGCGGATGTTAGCTTTCGAGTGATCAAGAGTCAGACACTGTCGTGGGCCTACAAAAAAGTCCAACTTTGTCAATTGACATCACCAAGACGTGGGACATGTGGCGCCAGCTTGCCGAAGCCACATGTTGTCCAAGTCGTATTCTTCAAATGCATGCCAAAAGCGGTCGGTTAGCATCCAACTATAACTCTGCGAATTGACATTGACAGTCTTGCCTTTGTCGTTTTCACACCTCCGGACCAGAAAGCGCTCCGGACAATAAGTTTTCTTGGGAACAAAGAACTCTCTTCAAATATTTGCTGATTCTCGAAGCCTTTAAAGCGACAATTTTGCTTATTTATAGGGTAATGAGAAATTATTTTCAAAGCAACTTTTTTCCGAAAAATCGTCGTCCACTGCTTGTTGTTCAAGTACCCAGACGGTCAGCTGGCTTCAGTTGTTGTGTGAGCTGGCTCTTATATGGATGTAGTTGTACGTCAACTAACTAACTAATTTCATTTATCTTGGAACTGGTGTGAACACCAACAGCAATTTCAGCCCGGAAATCCAGCGCGATTCATTCCTGGCAGTATATGCTGATTGAGCAGGCAATCGAAAAGTATAACCTTTTCCTGGAACACGAAGACCAAACCCTGCAAGTCGATCAACGTTCCCATTTCGCTATGAGGTGCGGAAACATGGACGATGTGTCGGTGATAAATGTTTTAGAGAGATAGGTTTTGCGTAAGAATTATGGTCGTCTACGAGTTGATAGAACGATGAGCTGCACAAGAAATACGGCGCCACTGACATAGTTCAGTAAATCAAGAAATAGCGGCTGCGCTGTATAGATCGTGTGGTCCGGATTTATTAGAATGATCAAGCTTTGAAAGTTTTCGATGTGGTACCAGCCGGTGAGAGCAGAGGGAAAGATCAGGTAGAGTTGGGCATGGCTGTACGTGGTATTTTTAACTGATATCAAACAGCGCAAAGAAGGAATGAGTGGCATAATGTTTCTGACTCAGCAATCAGGTGCCTACACCAATGGAAAGGAAGAAATAGAAGAAGAGATGTAAGTCCAAGTGATCGAGAAATGAACACAATCGAGTCTTCGGCTTCACTTTCACTTACAGTAGCGATATTTGTAGTGGAACAAGTAAAACGATGGTGCTTAAGTATTTTGAATCACCATTGGCGTAGTAGATTTTAAGAATTTTAAAGCGTTGTACGGTCCTTAAACGATCTATTTCCAGAGATGCCTGACTTTGACAGATTTGACAATTAGGTTTGACAGATGTCGAAATACGGAGTTGTACTCTTGAAACCACGAAATGGATAACCCTATATATGTAGAACGCCCATTAAATAAAATTTGATTATCTATTAAGCACAACAAATTTTTTCCCCCTATTTTTACAATTTTCTCAGCTGAGCTATTCAACAGATGCGCCTACTGCGGAGCATTGAGAATTTTGAGAATTTTGCGAAATGAGCTGATGAAATTCAATTAATATAAAATTAAAATTAACAATAGAAAATTTAAAAACAAGTTAAAACCAATTCAAAAACACTTTTAACACTTATTTGTATATTAAATTAATGCACACGCATACATACAAACATTCATATGCAAACAAATGAACAACCACAACCAAGTGCCTCAGTACAGCTGTTGCTATCTGGAGGGTTTAATATGTAAACATGTTGTATACAATAGTTAAACAAGTTTGTTTGTTATTAAAAACGAAGCATTTAAAAGATAACTTCGCACTCTAATAACAAATTTTGATCATAACAAATATTTTAACACTAGCTAAAATAAAGCAAACAAATAATTATTGTTAAGCATATACATACATATGTATATAAAATATGTAAGTGAGTGCACAAAAACGATAAATTTAAGTGTTTAAAAGAGATGATTAGATTTGGGGCAATAAGTTAGAAATTCGATAAAAAAGTAGCATTTTTAAAATCCTGCACGATCATCTTGGCTTGACTAAAGTCTACACAAGATGGGTGCAGGGTATACGAACGGTTCAGCGAAAGCAATAGCCGCGTTGTGTTGGCTGCCCTACATAAGATGAGCTTCGATATTTGGAATCATTCACCTTACACCTTAGAGCTACCCCGAGTAATTACAAGAAGTTTTCAATGATTACAAAAGGAACTGAGCGCTAAAAAAAATATCACTCAAGGTGAACTCAAAGAGGCAGCTTCGGTGTTTCGGTGTATTTTAAAGATAAAGAGGAAATATTTTTTGCGAGATTATAAATAATCGTATTTAATTATCAAGAAAATGTATCGTTTTTGCAGTAAAATATTTTTTTTGCACCCATTTTGTGTACATAAACATGCGCCTCGTAGTTCGCATCATGCGTAAGCGCTGCAGGTACGGACAACTTGCTTAAGTGGTTACGTTTTAAAACTTGAAAACATTCATTTTTTTTTTGATAATTTTATGTATAAAAGCACAGAGTGTTGGGAATATTTTTCCCAAGTTTCAAGTCGATCGAGACGAAACTGTAGAAATTAGAGAGTTTTATAACTCGCCGTCTTTGTCATGGCTTGACCGTTGATGAAACTTTAAACGCGTTTCACTGAAATAAAAAGTGCAGAAATGAAGGGCCCACTAAAACAAAAACCCATCTGGCAATGTCATGAAGTTCCATAAAACCATCACTCAAAGCCGTCTGCAGCAAAGCTTGATTCGAAGATTACACTGGTTCTGATAATAAATCATCAAGAGTGCAATTTCTCTGTGTTATTGGGTTAGCCCCTTCATCACACTACAAGCAACCGAACGGCACACAGGTTGTGGATACTGAACGGAATTTAGATATAAACTTATGTTTTCCGGAAAAATATTTTGCAAATCCTTCGATGCCATTTATTTTGGGCACGACTATCATATTCAAAGTAACCGCGAAGAGACGAGCTTTACGATAACATCGATATTGTTCAGCGCATCACAATAAAGCAACTGCGCTGCCTCGGGCATGTTGTTCATATGGACAATGCAGCTGCAGCGTAAAAGGCGTTCGTGGCGAAAGCCAATGGATGGGATAACGAATGGAATACCCACGCGTGCGATGGAATGTCAAAGTTGAAGAAAATCTAACTAAGCTTGGTGTAACGAGCCGAAGCTCTTGGCGAGATCTTTTGCGCTAGGGTGTAACGCAACAGCGGGTTGTTATGGCCATCCAATTAGGTAAATAAGTGTCCTCAGGCTCGGTATCATTTGCCAGAAACCAATAGTGGCGGCGCATAGTACGCCATCGTTTCTCAACGTACCGATGATCAAATGAGTTGTCCGCACTAGAACGAAATATTGCTGAAGAGCTGAAAATGTATGTCAACACTTTAAAGAAATCAATTGAATTAAATTGATTTACCTTAAGCTAAATTCTTTGCCTATCTGCTGGGGACAAAGCTTCGAATGAATTCTTAAAAATGTTAAAAAATTTACAAATACAACAATTAGGTTAATCTTTTATTTAAATTACTTACAAGCACTGGCTTTGTCTGCTAATTTCGCATAAATATTTAATGCACAACAACACTAAATGCAATCAATTGTTCTAGTGCACGGAGAAGCACACACACACATACCAAGCAAACTGATGAGCTCTACAAGGCATGCAGTGCAAGAAAGATATGCGAGCAACTCGTTGACAATAGAAAATATTTCTTTTCTCCTCTTTTTTTTTAGAAATATTCACAATACATATAAATTTTTTAAGTTCACTTCGAAGTCAAGTAGCCTTTATTGAGGGATCAGCGCAACCGAATCGCCAGCTTTTAGCTTGTGCTCAACGCTAAAAGAAAACATTTGAAGGCGATTAAAAGTAATTGAAAATAGATATGCATGTGAGTATAAATATTTACCGCTACACAACGATGGATAACAGTACAAATAAATTTTTATTGCTGGCGCATATGTTACAAAAGCTACCAGCGCAACGCGCGAACACATTCTTTGCCTAAATAAATTAATAAAAAAATGAATAAAAATATATATAAACAAACAGTACAGAAACAATAAACATACATACATACATATGTTTATGTGAGTGTGTGCTTTTCAAACAACAATATAAAATCGGCAGTATCTTTTTACTACACAAACAAATATTATCAGACACTTATCACACCTAATCGCCCCGCGAGATCGCCGCCTACAGCTGCTGTTGCTGCTACTAAAGCTTGAGAGCGGCTTGCGCGCAGCGACATCCCCAGCAGGGAGACTCGGCTACCACTACAACTAACTATATAACTATATAATTACAACAACAAACGCAACTACAAACACTTGCGGGATCTAACAGACGGCACTGCCTGTCACCCAGCCGCTATCGCTCGACGACGGATCATCACATCAGTCAGTGTGCAGTGTATCAGCGGCATCAGCGGCGTCAAATTTCGCACACACACACACACAATCGAGCATGTATGCAGTTGAATAGTATAGACTAGGCCAGCTGTAGGCTGCTCAAACATACCCCAGCAGTTGGACGATGCGCACGGACTAGCGCCTGTGAGAAACCGAAAAAAAAGAAAGTTTTAAATAATTTTATGTGCAAAAGTTTGCCACAGCAAAAGGAAGTGCAGCGCTTAGTGAGCATTTTCAAACGCGCTATCGCTGCGGATTTGTGTTTAATCGAAAATTCAGCACAAAAGTGTTAAGCGCGTTAAGAAAATTTTTCGTTTATTTTTTGGCATTTTTTTCTTTTTTGCGCTCAACCTCATCTCGACGCTTTATGTGATTTTCTTGCGAAACACGCGCACAAAACTTTTAACTTAAACGCGTCAAGCACGCATTGAGCTTGCAAACTGACATTTTTCACGCTGCGCGCCTTTCAATACATTTGTCTGTGTGTGTGTGTAGACGTATCCTGATGTGTAGGCTACACCGACTTGCTCGTAACTGCCGCGTGTGAGCCAATAAGCTGCTGCTACTTAACGCAAACCAACTCAAAAATATCCAATATTGAGCTGACAATTTCGTGGTAAAGACATTCGCAAATAAATTCGTTCACGTTCATTTTAGTCGCGTTCTTCGCCGCAAACCACTGTGTCTACTTAAATATACGTACATACATATAAGTTCAGCATCTTCACGCCGCTTTGCACTTCTTCACTTGCTTCTATGTACATTTGACCCTTACTGTGTCGAGTGCAAGAGACGTGCCTTACTTACGCCTCCTCCTGCTGCGCTACATACTCATATCTATCGACTTGCCTCCCGTGCAATTGCTTGGATTCAAATACTTTTACTACTCCTGCTTTTGGTGTACATCCGTTGTGACAAGATGCATTCGCCTGTCACCAAAGTGACTGGTTTCATTGCCCTGATGATTGTGCAAATAATTCTACTTGCACTCTTCTGGTTGTTCGTGCGTTATAGTGATGGAGCTTTACCAAGCGATGAAGGCCGAGGATTAGGCGAAGAACACGTTTCCAAATATCCGCGTGAGTATCTTGGCAGAGTGTATTTATATTTCTATAGATTTATAAGTACGGGTATACTATATATTATGTACATACGTGTAAGTGTGAAGGTGATTTTCCTGGTGTCTTGCTGTAAGTGAGTAAGTGAAAAGGAGTGATTAGGCGTGTTGTGTTGCATTATGTTGGGAGTAAAGGCAGCTTTGGCAAGCATTTGAATGTACTTTGTCGCATTATTGCAAGTGAGCCATTTCCGATAGGTTTACACGATTTTTTTAAAGAAAGAAATTGCATACACAAAATGATGTATTATAAAAGCACTGCTTATGACAGTCAAATCTAATCCTTTACCTTGTTACAAAGGTATTTTTTGTACTTCTCCAAAATCGTATATTCTGAATATATCGATTTTTCTGATGCGACGGTTGCGCAAGCTGACGCCGAGTAAATATATTGAATGAGTGCATAAGTTCGTGCCCGATTTCAAGTGCAAACAAAAATTGAAATTTTTTGAAGAAAGCGCTTTTATTAATCAATTATGTATTCGCCATCATGTTCTCCCAACGTTCAAACAATTTACGGATGCCTGATTCATAGAAATCGCTCGATTTCTCGTTGAAAAAGGTGTCAAGGTGGTTTTTGACGTCTTCCACATTTTTAAATTTTTTTCCATTTAAATTGTTCTGCAGCGATCGAAACAAATGATAATCAGAAGGTGCAATGTCGGGTGAATATGAGGGATGCGGCATGATTTCCCTATTCATTTCCTTCAGTTTGGCCAGGGTCGGTTTTGCAACATGTGGCCTGGCGTTGTCATGATGGAAAAGAACTCCTTTGCGATTGGCCAAAATCGGACGTTTTTCATCAATTGCTTTCTTCAATTCGACCAATTGCTGACAATACTCGTTAGCAGTGATCGTTTCTCCAGCTGGCAAGAGCTCAAAATAGATCTCGCCTCGGATATCCCACCAAATGCATAGCAGTACCTTCATCGGACGCAATCTACCTTTCGACATCGGTTCCGCCCGTTCTTGTGCCTGTTTCCATGTTCTTTTGCGTTGAACATTGTTGTGCAGGATCCATTTTTCATCACCAGTCACGAGCCGATTCAAAAAAGGTTCGTTTTTGATCCGTCGAGGCAAAGAAATTGCTGTTGACATTCGGTCCACTTTGTTTTTTTCACTCAACTGATGTGGCACCCATGTAACGAGCTTCCCAAGCTTTTTTAAACTCAAATCAAAATGAAGTTATTTTATGCTTGATCTACAGTTCGGACTGTCACCTTTCCAACGATATATAATATGTATACATTTCTTTCACGAGCGCCACTCTCAAACGATTCGAACGGCATCCAGCGGAATCGGGCACGAACTTATGCACTCATCCAACATGTATATATTATTCATCTATATCTGTCGCAATACCCTAGAGCTTAGCATTGTATACTGTCATTCTGTGGGCCAGGGTTCTAGTCTCGGTTCGACGAACGTCCAAAAGCTAAGTAAAATTTTTTTTTAAATGCTGTCGCCACACGGCAAGGAAAATCAGCTCTCCAAGTGCTTTTCTGACATGAAAAAAAAACTCTTCACAGAAATGCATTTGCCGATCGGAGGTGGCTTAGAATAAGCTACAGTGTTCTCCATTTGCTTGAAAGACATCATACAATGGGGCTCGGCCGAAAATCCTTTCTGCGCTTGCAAAGCTATAAATATTTATATACTCCCTGCAGGGGAAGACCAATTAGTATACAGAAATTCCAGCTCATACTAGCATTTATGTTGAAGATAAAATCATACCAGCTCGTTATTTGTAAAGAAGTCCACCAATAACAGGAGAAATAACCATTTCCACCACTGTTTGTTGTTGTTATTTTGGCAGACTGTGACCGAAATCCAATCTCTGCTCTATTCTTTTGAAGTGCGGAAGCCTAATGAAGTAATTCCAAAGGAGTTGACCGAACTACTGTTAATCCCCTCGTATACATTCATAAATATTTTCGGATAGTGTTGTAAGATTTGTGGTCCTTTGCGCGTTGGAAACGGCGAATATTGCAGACGATGGAACGATGAGCTATACAAGTTATGCGGCGACTTTGCTATAGTTCAAAGAATCAAGAAGCAGCGGCTACACTGACTAGGTCATGTGGTCCGGCTGGCTATGAATACTCCAGTATTGCAAGTTTTCGATGTAGTACTCGCCGTTGGAAGCAGAGGTGGAGGAAGATCTCCACTTTGTTGGAAAGACCAGGTAGAGAAGGACCTGGCTGTACTTGGTATTTCCAATTGGCGCCAAACAGCAAAAGGAATAGAAACGAATGGCGCAATGTTGTTAAAACTGCATCAATCGCTATTTTATTATGTTTTCAGAAAATGTATGTATAGGTGTATATAATTAGTATGCTATCGTGAGACATAAGCTAAATTTAAAGCGCTAATAAAAGCGCACTAAATGACTTTAATAAAATTAAAAAATACAATTTTTGCATAATTTTTTTATCTACAAAACAAGCCGCGCATACTATTTTTATTGGCGTAATAAATTGTACAAATTACAGTAACAAAGCTTCTGCATCTGTGTGTATGTATATGTGTATAAATACGAAACGCAAAATCATCTAGTTCCTATCAGCACGCAAGTGACATCATGAATCACAAGACCTGTCTTAACATTTCATCAAATCTATTGACACACAAGCGCCAATGAAACACAATAAATTAATATTTAATCAGAAATATCAGAAAATAGCTACTGATATTGAAATGTATAATAAATAATACTGATATGACCGATTAACTTCGAAATTCGCCAGATGTATTCAAAGCTCCTGGGAAGGCTTATACGAAAACATTTTTTTTAGAAAGTGTACTTGGAACTGACCTATGCGAAAAAATCCCATTTATTTTTCGATTTTCTTGAAATTCTGTATAAAATATGGGACCACTCACCTGCAACAGTTCTGCTCACAATATTATTTCTATCAAAGTTTTTGCTTTAAATTTGCATAGCTATCAGCATATGCAGGCCATCAGCACCTAATTTGAAAATCTATTAGCACTCTTACGCGTCATTTAAAAGTTTCACCTATACATATAATAACGCAAAGTGATTTTCAATGGGTTGCAACAAGTACTGCTGTGTGTGTATGTGTGCACTATAAACAACTTAGCGCTTATCGTAACGCTGCGAACATTATTTTTTTTTCAGCTGTCAATGTAACAAAGCTCATACTAAAAACAAAAAAAAAAACAAGAAGAAATGTTTGATAAACGTCTATGCATGTGCTTCAACGCGCACGTATACATACAAATATATACATTATAAATGTACGAGGTCTGCTCGAAAGAAAATGTTAATTTTGAATTGTTCTTCGAAAATTTTTGATTTATTCAAAAATATTGATTTTGTTGGCTTCAAAGTACACTTATGCACGCACTTCTTCCAAGCCTCAAACCACTCGTAAAGTGCACCCTTCACGGTATTACTCGTTCTACGATTCTCACTTTGTTTCACTAATTGTGAGAAAAAGCTCACCCTTCATTGGTCTCCTTAGTTTTGGATACAGAAAACAAGTCGCAAGGAACCAAACAGGGGATAAGTTGGGTTGGGCGGCATGACGGTATTGTTTTTGTCCAAAAACCACGAACTGGTATTGATTTTTTGCGTTATCGTGTTGCGGAATCCATGATTTGTTTTTCCATAATTCCGTTCGTTTGAGTCGTATTGCTTCATGCAAACGTTGTATAGATTCCTTTCAATATTCCTTATTCGACGTTGCCGCCTAATTCGAATTTGCTTTAGCTCAAAATTTAGAAATGGAAGCTTCGTTGCCACATGTTTGTTGCCCAAAACATTCGATAAATTTACATGAGCAGTATGCCAGAGCAATTTTTTTACTGTTCCGATGTTTTCGTCGCTTGTTGACGTAATCGCAACTTCATCCCGCTCATCGCCTATAACATCTTCTTGGTTCTACTAAGCATTTGTAACACTTATAAATACTTTTTTGGGACAAAGTGGATTCCCGAATAACCCAGTCAACATTTCAATTTCAATTCATATATATGAAGTCAATGATTTTACAAATCTTAAAGATCTCGAGAATGCGAATCATGATTAATTAATCAAGATCTCAGAGTGTGCTCTAACAAAAGGATCGTAACAGAGAATTGGCTTTCATTATATCTAAATTGAGTGGATGGTAATGAGGAACATTAAAGCTGATGTGCCCAAGCAGCTCTGGACAATCCAATAGGCCATTGATGGCATTATAAATAAATAATAATGACTGTGATTTGTGATTTCAATTCTAATGTAGTTTATTTATGCAATTTTTCATTTTTTGAGAGGGTACATACTTGATGAAATAAATTTTACATGAAGTAACAATTTTACGAGTTTATTCTCCAGTGCTTTCAGTAAGCATGAGGATGAGAATACCGGATCATTGCAGCATTTTCCAGGCGGAACTCTTCGCAATCAAGAAAGCCGCAGAATGGCTGCACAAATCCACAGCAGCAGTACAATCAGTAACAATCTACTGCGAAAAAATCTAAGCATCTTATTATTCTGTATCGGTTCTCCATTAGCATAACGACGGGCATAATAACTGCACTCTGTTCAAAGAGGCTTCAAGGGAAAAGAATGGGATATCACTCTAAAGATTCCTGTCTCGGCTGTAGGGACGAAAAAGGGAAGGAGACCATCGAGCACTACCTCGGTCACACTTCTTCGACTCTCTCTCTGAGTTGGCCTCAGTGAACATTGGAAATCTCCTTGCCTATTAAAGGCACACGAAATGGTTCGATCATTTGAGAAGGTGAAGGCGGGAGCCTCAGCGATATCACAATGGGCCTATTGGCCTAAGTTTACAGGAGTTTTTTGACCAGCAGCCGCATCAACTAAACCTAACTCAACTCAGAAATTTTATGAAGTGAAATATTTTTAAATATTCAATATTATGTAATATTAATTGTGAGAGTTTTTCTTGTGGTTTTGTAATTTTATAATTTATAATAATATATAAATAAATGGGGTTGCCTTAACCCTTAAGGACTCATGCCCTCATTTGTCCTGCTTTGTACGTTGATTTCAAGTCTAGAGGAATGCGTAGAATAAATTTCAAGTGCTTTGGGGTACTTTATGCCATTTTAAACGTAAAAATAAAAAAAAAACATATTTTTCTATCCACACAACTCGTGACTAATGTCTCTAGTTTACAACAACAAACTACTAGTCCAAATTGGCAGATAATGTCAGCATATCATAAACATATTTGTACCAACATAGAAAAAAGACTCCATAATCGAATGTACCAAAACTCAAAATTCATCTCTTCTTTCGAACCGACCTCGTATATGCATAACTTCATACGTATGTATGTATGCTCAGCGCCCTTAGGCTGCAAAAAAATTACTTTGATGTTTCACATATGTTTGGATACAAGTTGTCAATCAAATTTTTCGCATTACAAAAAATAAAATTAAGCGAACTGATACAATCTAAACAACAACAAAAGCGCGTCGCTGTCATGTGATGGGGGAGAAAATTGAATTCATATGCTTTTGTACTTTTTAAAAGTTGTGTGATTGTATATAGGCATATACGAATAACGGATGTTCATATTTTTCAACACTATAATTGCTGATTTTATCATGATTAGCTGTCTGTGAAATGAAAAATTGATATGCCACTAACAAGTTGCAGAATTTGAAGATTAGCTGTAAATAGCTGAAGGTTTTCATATAATAAACGTCGATGTGTTTGTATATACTAATTCAAGTATGTAAAATATGAAAGCGACAGCTTTTTGTGTACAAAAATATATCTATCTTCTCAGCTTTCTTAGCTAGTAATGGCTACTAGTTACTCATACGACGTGTGGTCCATGACTAGTTAACAAATTTGCATTACAACGTTTCTTGATTAAAATTAAATTATTTTTTCTTTAATAAAGGGTGTTTTTTTAAGACGTGTGGTTTTCAGTGAAACAATACTTTCTTGTGAGCTACTCTTTTTGGCCGCTGTTACTTTACTTCAGGTTGCTTTGCTATTTTATAATGATTAGACTAAATCCAGCACCACGTTTGCAGATCGTGCAAATTTATAACCAATATAATGGGTTGGTACGCACGACGCAATGCCGTCGACATTATCGCCTAGCTGAGTCAGTGAGTCGCGTTTATTCCAGTGTGGATATTGCACATGCTCAGAGATGTCGTACTGTGCGAGCCAAAGACGAGAATAGTGATGTGCAGGAAAGTGTCTCAACTTCCTTTGAAATCACTGTATTTTTATCCACTAAAGCAGTCGTTATATAAACTTTATATGGACGGACAACATTGAGTACTAAAAGCAAATGCGAAAATCTGCTTAAGCTCACCATTCCAATGATCTTTCTCCGGTACTTTTTTGATAGAATTTACTTTTATTTGCACGAATTTATTAATTTTATTTCTATCTCGCGTATCTTTCTGTCTATAAGCGATGGTAAACTTTCGCTCACCAACTCATTTGAAGTTTCCATAATTTCTTATTAACACAGAAACAATGGCTAAACTAATTTATTAACAGACAGGGTGTTTAAATATAGGCTTGGAAATAAATTACATATGAAAATATACTATATAAATATATGTAGACATTTATGACCAAAACTAAGTTGTTTACATTTGAGTTCTGCAAGAAAAGGTTTGATTGCTGCAGGAAAACTCTACATTTTCTAGATAAAAGAGTAGTTCCGTGAGTGAATTAAAAGTAAGTGGTTAACTGCTCAAATAGTAATAATACCGTTGATTATTTATTATTTAAGCAATTTATATTCAGAAGTCCTCCAAAATGTAAATAAAGATCTATAATATAGATTTCCATTCACGTATTATATTCTGCATGTATATATTAAATTCCGCCGGAATGTAGGCAACGGGTTTTAAATAATTTTTATTTAACTTTAACATACGTTACTGAGATGCCACATTGCATTGATATTCGCTAAATATTAAATTTTGTTGCATAATTTTAGTCAAATTCTGACATTTTGGTACTACCATGCGTAAGGTTATTGGCTCGAATCCGGGCAGTACTAAGAACCCAGGATATAGAAAACTAATTTAATTTTTTTTTTCTAATTTATCTAAATTTCTTTAAAATAATTCAATGCTTCGGGAGTGGCTAGAAAGTAACTAGAGGGTACTCCATTTGTCCATTTGGTAGAAAAACATCAAGGCGCACATCTAATCGGAGATTATCAGACGAACATTTTAAAATATGCTATTTTTTTGGTTTTAGGCTGAATTAAAACAGGAGATTATTTTACCCTTTTTTTGGGTTAAACTTTTTCATTCATACATGAAATAGTTAAAGCACGACCAATTCTGATAGCGAAATTTGAATTGGTCCAACGATGCGCTAGAGAGAAGTAACCAAATAACGCATATGTATGTATGTAAACATGCGTGCGCTTATGAGGTTTATTGTTTATTTACAATAAATTAGTGTAAGCTTCACGCGGTCGTTCGGTCGTGATCGTCTATTTAATAAAGCCGCGTATGCACTCGCAACATACGAGTAAATACCTTGAATTTCTCTCACACCACCAAAGATAGCCAAAGATAAACTCGACCATTAATCTTAATACAATTGGCTTTTGGCAGTGCAATTGCAACGGCCTAATTGAGGCAATTAGTTGAAATTAATATGCATAACATATATGTTTGTATACGAATACATATGCAAATACACAAATGGATACAGAAATATGTTTTATTTGTAGCAGTATATGTTAATTGAGATGTACATGTGGGTGTTGCACCAAATTTTTTATCCGCTATATGCATGAGGATTATGATAAACACAAGCGCATATATGTACAGAGGTTTGTATGTGTGTTTGGACATTGACTTCAACATTAATTATAAAACGATAAATTCGCTTAATAGACCGTTGACAGAGTGTGTGTGTGTGTGTGTGTGTGCGTATGCGTTGGAGTGTGTGAGTGAGCGGCTTTATGTCATTTTTAATTACTCTAACAAAACTATTAATTGGATTTTATTTTATGGATATTGCTTCTCTTCTTCATAATCATTTATGCATACGTGAATAAATTATTTGCGCTTATGTTGGATTATAGAGCTTTTCTGAGCTTCTGTTTGCCTTATAGCCTGACACTTTTTCACATAAAAAAAAAAATAAAATTAAAAAAATAAAAAATAAAATTACGTCTACAAGAAAATTAATTTAATATAAGATTTAAAAGCATAAATTAGAAAAAGCTTTTAATTAATTTTAAATATTTTTCTTTCAGATTTCCAAGATGTGCAAGTGATGATCTACATTGGCTTTGGCTTTTTGATGACTTTTCTGCGCAAGTATGGCTACAGTGCTACTGGTTACACACTATTTTTGGCCGCACTGGTGGTGCAGTGGTCGATTTTGGTGAAAGGATTCTTCCATATGGAGGATGGCAAAATAAGGTAAGGCAACAAGAGGCTGAAAAATATTTGAAGTATTGTAGAATTATAAGAAAGCTGGTTGAGTGCTTCCAATTTGGCAGATCTACGATTCGTCAGATATTCACCAGCTAAATGCTGGAAGGGACCCTTGTGCAAAGTATTGACACAGGCCACTTTTTCCTTTTCTGTTGTTCTTTACGTTTAGTATCCACAGTAGGCGAGTGGTTAACATTGCGTACGGTTCAAATCCAAAAAGCTTCTATAATGATGTGTGATTCTCAGCTCGCCGATCCCATAACTGAAAAGGTTTCCCTGATTTGCTTGTTGATGCTATCATCACAGGCATCCAAGAATTACGATGAAGGGGGTAAGGAGGGAAAATATTGGATTCCGGTGAGATGTGCCTCTAGAAACTCGCGCTCCTGGCATTCACCTCGGTAGATAGACATCTGAACACAAACCACACCTCAATCTAGTTCTTCAAGACATTCCACGCCCCGACGTAAGAGAAATAAAATGTGACCAAAGTTGTTTTTTTTTTTTTTTTGAGCATCTGGAGAGTATAATATAGTACTCCAATCTAAATTATCAAAATTTTTCATTCCCAAATTATTATGAATAAAACTCCATCATTGCGGTGCTCCCACTAACAATCATCGGTAGATAAATAAGAAGAAAATAAAATTAAATTAAAAATAAATGCGCTTCAGTTTTGATTCTATCCCGGCGGCCAATTTTTCTTTTAAGACAATATAATGCCGGACCATAAAAACTGTAGCTCGACAAAGACCCACAACGAACGCTAAGTGAAGAAAAACAAAAGTTGTTATTGCACAGCATTTGAGCAGTAAATTAAGGGAGAGAAGAAGAATATATTGCAGACACTATATATTTATTACCGCAAAGCTTATATTTTTTAGTGACACACCTACATACAAACATAAAGCAATTGCAATGGTGTCTAATATAAAGCATAAGTTCTAGACACAAACGAACGCAGATAAAGATAAGTAAAAGTGCTTACACAAAAAAAAAATTATATAAAATAAAAATAACCACTAAGACGCTTCATTTAAGCGTGGACTATAAAAGCAATTGCATTTTCTGCTACGCAAGTTACAATAACAATGAGAATCTGCGACAACAATTTAAATCGTGTTTCTTTTTTTTTTTTTTTTTTGTTTCTTTCACATTCAGTGTGATATGCAATCTGTTGATTTAACCATAACAGTTTGTTAGCTGCAAAAACAAGTGCGCGAATACACATATACAAGCAAACATGCAGACATGCATACATACATATATTTATATATACAATATAAAAACATATTTTTCTATATTCTATATAGTGCTTTTTGTAGCTAAACTCAGTTGTGTTCTTCAGGTGTCTACAAAAGCATTTTGCCGTCTCTGTCGGTTGTTATCTTCTTACACACACACACATACATACACACATACCCACACAAATAATACTTATTTACTCCAGCATACTCACTGTCTATCAAATCTTTCATCTTCACAATGCCACGGGCTTAGAGCGACATGGTTGCCATGACCTCTCATTTCTCAACTAACAAATTTATTAAATTTCCTTTGAATCTTGCTCTGCACTATGGAATAATCCAAAACAAAATATGCCTGCAGCGTAAAGAGCTCCACACAGACATGAAACACCTACATTTATATTTTTACATACACATACGTATATGTGTTTATTTTTTTTCTCATGAATCAGTGTTGTTATTGTGACACTCGCACGCTCTGCTGCAGAAAAATACTGAGAGACTTGCGGTAAACATGTTTTCAATGCAGATTGAATGTGGCAACTTCTGTATTCTTAGATTGGAAACTGCTAAGCATGTGCGGTGTTTCATTTTGGAAGAAACATCAATATACCTTGGAGGGTAACTTTTTCAGCTCTCCAAATTTTATTCCTGTCGTACGCTCTTCTAATACCAATTTCCGATTATTTACCAATGAAATTACCATTTTTATTTTGAAAATAACTTATTTTTCTTCTTCTTCATCTTTTTACAGTTTATCGCTGGAGAGCATCGTCGATGCTGATATCGCTGCCGCTGTGCCTTTGATTAGCATGGGTGCTCTATTGGGTCGTACCACACCGATTCAGTTGCTATTCATGGCCATCGTTGAGATTGTTCTTTTTGCCGCTAACGAATATGTCGCTTTGAATATTTTCAGTGTAAGTATTCGAATTTATAAAAACATAAAATTATTACGTAAAAATATTCCGCTAGCTAAAGTTAGAAAAAGGTGGTAACTCTTATCAAGAGTATTCGGAGAGCGAGTGCTGTTAATGTATATATTTCTTGTTAGTTTTGAGAACCTCCTCCATGTATTGTGAAATTTTCATTTAATGGATTTGAATTGATAAATAAATAATTTGAAATAAACGGCAACCCTATTCACAAATATTATAGTAAATAAATATATATGCATATATTGTAATTGACGCCCTGTAACCATTTACGCAATTATTGGCCAAACTTCTCCTACAATTCACGGTGCGCGCCCGTTTTCGGTGGGGCTCCTCCTCGCTAATCGGGCCAGGTCTCAAACCCTGGTCTTAAAAATGAGAATACGGCATTGCTAATCACTCGCCTATTGCTTCCGCCGTGCTACGAAACGTAGGGACGTTAGTCTAAAACCAATCTAGCCGAACTGTATTTTTCTTTTAAAAGAGCAATTGCGTTTCGTCTGGGAATGTCAATACCGCAGAGTGTAAAAAATATTTTTTATAAAAGGTTCACAATCGTACTTCTTGAGCCTTCATTCTTGATTATACTAGCCGAGTTTATAGGACCTTATATCCGATGTTGAGGAACTGGTCTCACGAGTATTGTGAAATTACACTCTTTTTTGCACTTAACAAAGCACAAATAGATTCCAATCGTCACGTCTCGAATGCTTGAGACATGTCGCCAGGCTCTTACAACAAGACCCATCAGCTTAAAGATTTTGCTTTTGTACAGGCATCTGGTACTATTGTACATACAACAATATTTCAGACGCCGGTGAAGTCGATCAGCCTTAATCTGGCTGAGAATGTTTTATCAAAGAGGTTATACTGAAGAAAATTTGACGTTGAAGTCAGCAAGCACAATTTCGACATCATGACAGCAGCTGTCGCTCGTAAGTACGATTATAGGTTCAATATTTTGATATCTTCGGCATACTCTTGCGTCAGGGCGTAAACAAATAACAGCGGAATATTGAAGAACTTCGATTTGATGCCGCTTGTGAACAGACTTTTATCCACCGCATACGATGACTGGACTCGACGACCCCTTGTTTGGAATGGTCGTCAAAAGTAGGTCCCCTCATACGGGGCAATGTTTTCGCTTTTATTGCAGCTGGTGTTTAAGTGGCGGTCTTAAATATAAAAAAAATTTAATTTAATTATCCATTTATATTCTGTCAATCACGCCCTCCTTCTTCGCAGTGCTTGTTTCAAAAATCAAATCAAAGAGAATTTTGCACAGTTACTTTTCAGTGGCGCCACTCTTCAATAATTCTTTCTTCTCGTTCTTTTTTTTCTACTTTAAATGCTAACAAGTTGATATACTTTGAACTCATGGTTTTTTTCTCATAAATATGTAGATTTTTCGCTTTCCCTCAGTCAGTTTAAAACTGAATTTCCTCCAATAAATATTTCACACTCTATATATGCGATCTTCATATCTCTGGCATTAACATAAGCAAAAACATGGAAGCTCATTAATTATTGTAATTTTATTTAATCTGCAACACTTTACATGAATAAGTATGTATGAAAGTTTATATGTATATATCTACATGTTTAGTAGACGTTTTATTTGTTTGCCCTAACCACTAAAGAGAGTTTTTGCTTTAAATCCGCTTAACTGAACACCTTCGAAGTAGCTCTGCGTACATTTGTATTACGGAAAACAAGAAAAAATGTTTCAAAATGGCCAGTAGGAATTTTATGCTTTGAAAATTTTTTACATGGGGGTAATGTATTGTGTTATTCATTTCGTGAATTTAAAAGTGATTGTTGTTTGACTAACAGAGCGGCTAAGCAATATCTTTCCTCCTTAAAGAGGTGCATATTAGTCTCTTTTTGCTAATCAAAACCTTACCTGAAGATGGTGAATGTGAATGCCTACTATGATCTTCACTTACTTTCTATTGCGTTGAACGCTATGGATTCAAAAGCAATGCCCAAATCAAAGCAATCTTCAGTCACTAAAATCTTACTAATTTTCATCCATATGTCAATTTATGACACTCTTCCCGGTAATAACGTAAAAATTTCATATTTTAATCTATGCAAACACTACACTACATTCGAAATCTCAAGTAAATCGAATCTGGTACTTGGTTCACTTGTCCGTTTACTCGATTTCAAAGAAATCTATGCATTTCCAGAATAATTCTAGTCGCGTAGAACTTCGACGAAGTGACGGAAATATTCCAAATAGCCAAACCGGTCTATGCCCAATTAGTTTTTATTATCATGTAAACCAACGAAATATGCAAATTTTTAAATATCATAATATTCATAGGACAAAAAGTAACAAATTTAAGAAAAACAATCCATTCATAGGACTTTTTTTGAATTTACCGTGAAACCAACGGTTACTGCAAAGGCAAGACGCTTTTCAAATATTCCTGAATTTAAAATTTTTGTAATCTACTGAGTGAGAGCACAGATATGCCAAAAGTTGAGTATGTGTCTGATTGTGCGAGTAAATTTTTCTCTCACTTATTTGACAGGTATTTTCGCGATAGCCGAGTGGTTAGTTTGGCGACCTGCCATTCAAAGCCTGGGACGACCAACATTCAAATGTTATAGAAAATTAATTTAAATAGAAAATTAAATGAAATTTTCCAATGCAGTCACCACTCGACAGGGAATGTCCACCCCTACGAGTGTATTTCGGACTTGAAATAAAGGCTCCTCGTAAAAAACCATGAGCCATCTGTTGGGAAAGCATCAAGATTCAAAGCATCAGCCGAAAAACACTTCAGTGGTTAGAAAGCGCAATTATTGAAAAAAAGTTCAAGTTTATCATGGACACTCGAAACTTTCAAACGCGAGAAGTGATTTGAAAGCAATGAGAGTTTTTTTTATTTTAAACCCTGCTCTGCCCTTCCGTTAAACGTCAGTTATAATGCTGTAATATGCTGCCTTTTCACAAGTAAAATCTACGCCAGCAATAAAAATGACACGATCGACGCTGCAGCAACGCTTGGAAGTTATTAAAATTCACTCTAAAAATTTCAACGAAAAATCATCTTGACAGATGAGGCCCATCTCCACCTCGCTGGCTACGTCAATAAGCAATACTGTCACATCTGAGGCTCGAGAAACCCAAGATTTAATAATATATATATATATGTTTCTGTTTTAACGCAAATAAATACTTCACAAGCAAAAATATATCTCATTATTCCAGTTTATTTACGAGTACCACATTCCCACTGGTTCGTCCGTTTATATCGTCATATTTCCTTTTGGGCAGTTAAATACCTGTAATTGAGGGCACCTAAGGGTTACACAAGTATAAAAATTTAAACGTGTTTTGTTGTTGTTGTTTTTTTTTTTGCATCTGACAAACGCCTCTCGAGAGCATGGGACCAAAACCTTTTTCAAAAGCTCTCCGCTACACAAAGCTTGCGATGAACAGCTGCTACTTAGTACGAGTATAAAGAAGGAACTTTATTTATTCTCTTTTGCTTATAATGCAGCTGCTTTTGCAAGCTGTTTGTATGGAGTTATTATTATTGTTGTTTTTTCTTCATTTTTTATAATAATTATTACATTTTTTACTTACCACTCTTCTTCCTCTCCCTCTCTCTGTCTCTCTTTCACATGTTCGCCTCCAAACAGATCTGTGACGTTGGTGGCTCAATTACAGTGCACGCCTTCGGTGCTTACTTCGGTCTGGCGGTGAGTCTAATGTTGCGTCCCGGCAAGGAACAGAACGAGGCAGGCAAATATGAAGGAGCCAATTATACGTCGGATATCTTCGCTATGGTCGGCACATTGTTCTTGTATGTGTATTGGCCAAGCTTTAACTCGGTGTTGGCCGATGGCAGTGGCCAAGAGCGTGCCATACTCAACACGTATTTATCATTAGCAGCGGCAACAGGTAAGCAATGCAAGCACCTAACCATCTAGACATAAGCCTTCTCATAGACATACATACATTTACACAAAGGAAATGCGAACACGCACAAGGACAAGCACACAAGAGGGATCATGTACATACAAACAGGAACAATGGCAGGAGTGTACTTGTGTTCGCACCTATGCATGAGCGCATTAAAGCAAATTTAATGCTTTGTGCCAGTAGTCGCCTACAATTGCAAATTACACACGCTCATAGACACGTATAGAGCTCTTTATATGTGTAGTTACATACATACACGTACATAATTGCATAACTTTAAGTTTAATAAGCTTGTATGAATGAGTGTACACCAGAATTATATTATTTATGTGTAAGAGCCCACCTGTCGTTAGATGGTACTCATACAAATGTACACATTGCGAAGGACCCAGACGGAAGAGACCCTAGTTTGCTACTAATCTTTCATCTTTCCGTCTATCCACATGTCAGCGTCAGGAAAGAGGAGTTGTTTGTCCCCTATTAAAAATCAGCTTCGTACCAGTTAAATGCTAGTTCATGTAGAATTTCGTCTTCTTCTTGAATGGCTTAGACACCACTTATGCAGTTGTAGCCGAGTGAACAACAGCGCGCCTTCATTTCCTCTTACCGCTGTTTGCGGCCAATTCTATATTTCAAGCACAACCAGGTTCTGCTCCACTCGGTCTTCCAAAACGGAAGCTCCGCAAGATGATATGAGCCTAATAGTGTTTAGTCTGTGTTCGTCGAGAGAGAACTCACTTGTTGGCAAGAGAGATTCTGCATTAGATTTCAAAGCTGAAATTTTTGGTTGGTGTTAATGTTGTTCCCAAGTTGGACGAAATTATCTACCACTTCAAAGTTATGACTGTCAATCGATTTTGCCGAAGTTTGGTGCCGAATTTTGCCTAATATGACATAGGAGGGGGAATCTGTGACCCATCTACTGGAAAAGCAGACGCTATGATTCTCTCAACACCTATTATCTTGCGGCAACCGGCAAAATCCTCGGCCACCCTTTACACCAATTTCACGAATCAGTATAGGCGATCTCGGGAATGAAAAAGCCGCTACAACAACAACACCTCCTCTATAAAAGCCTCGGTAGTCATCCTTGACTACAAATCTGACTTCCAAGCAATGTTTATGGGTGTTACTGAAGGCTCCTAATGGACATATTACGGGTTGACACAGTGAAAATCACTTGGGTTCCAAGCCATACGAATGTAGAAGGCAATGAAAATGTAGATGAGCTGGCGCCGCTGGCGATGTGGCTACCTTCGACTTCCTCAGACCTTTCAGCCCCTTGGAATGTTGTTTAAAACAATAGAATTTCGAAGAAATTTTAGGGTCCTGAAGAAAACCTAACGTAGGGCGTAGTACTAACAAGATTGCAAACGAACTGAAATCTTGCTAGCACTAAACAAAAGAGAACTTGGTATTACTGTAGGTGATGATAGAGGATGATGAAACGCAGGAGCATGACCTCTGCGTGTGCTCGAACTTTAGCCGGTTGCGACGCGCAACCCTCCAAAGGGGCATTGAGCTCCAGCCTTATAAAGATGGAAGAAATTGAAAAAAATTATGGGCGAACTGCTCGCAAAAATATAATTGAGATAAGCAGGGAAATATAATAGGCCTATTCAATGGCTTAGGTGCGGCGGCCTATGGTCAGATCTTTAACTTCCTTTTTCAACCAACCAACCTTGCTTGTTTGAGCTCATACTACGGATATAACTAATTTGCGCTATGCGATATTTTATTTGTTATTATAACCACAAAACCCAATACTAGCAATGGCTAATTTACGCATTTATGGAAAGAATATACCAACCTATTCTGAATGCCGCCCATGGCAATTTGAACCAACTGTTCACTATCTACCGTAGCTGCTAACATCGAGCCTTTTCCATTTCCCTTGCTTTGGCCTCATTCGAGTTGAGTGTCGCTGTCGTTGTAGTTGCTGACATCCATCGATGTAGTAAGCAAGCCAATCTACTGCCTACACTTTTTATTTACCTTCGCATCTAATTTCAATACTTTTTTTTGACTAGGTGTTGCTGTTTCTATAATATTTATACACTCATAGCCACTTTTAGTTAAAATGTATGAAAGCAGGAGCAACTTTACGTGCATTGAAGTCTGTGTGAAAATAAATGTATATGTGTGTATATACCAGCCAATTATTTAAATATTTATGTATATATTTTATAAATTTCAACCATTTTGTTGTTGTCCATTTTCTACCTTCATTGTGTGTGGGTGCTTTTTGAACGTGTTTAAAATAATTTTCGAAATGTGTTAACGGTAATGTTTGACATTTAATTAGTTTGCGAGTTGAATACGAAATTTTGTCGCGCGTATAGTGGAGTATACATATACATGCCTATACGTATGTATTATTGTCAAAACATACGAATTTGGTGTCAACATGAAATGGGCGACAAGTGTGTACACCCCCGAATCAGATTTGACAATTTCGCGGGAGGACCGATTTCTTCTGATGACGAGACCTAGAACAGAAGAGCAAAAAGTTTCAGAATCTGCAAACTATGGCCCTTGCAAGTACATACGGATTAATTTTTTAACTCATTTTTGTGATAGCGTCACACTTTTTTTTTTTAAAAGAAGGGATTTTTGACTAAAAAAATACGCACTAGATTATTTAAAAAAAAAAAAACGAGGAACGTCCACGTATTTCTAAAAAAAAATTATTTGTGATGCTACCATCCCAATTTCTGATAAATCGATGCGAAATGCGAAGTTCGAAAAATCTGTCCTCCCAGTTTGAAAAATGTGATTTTGAGAAAAATACGTTTAAAGTTTTGATTGCACTCAACCCACGCTCTTAGGGGCTACAGCAAAATAAAAAATTCAGCTATTGGAAATATTCTTTTAAATATTTATTTCTTTAACAAATCCAATAGCACATCATTTTAAGAGCCCAAAGGTACACTGTGAGAAAAAAATGGATTTTCCAAAATCCTGGAGTGGCTTCCTCCTTTAAAGTTTCGATAGGTGACTAATTTTTTGAATATACATAAACCTTTAACCCTTAATGAGCTCCGCGAATTTCAGAATTAATACTTAAGGTGCAATGTTCTATGGAAAATATCAAGTATCAGACAGACAGATAAAGCGGGCTTTTCTCTTCTCGATTATATCGCCACTAGCTGATTGCTTTTTGATATTCATGAGAGACTAAGTAAGGGAAGGCACATTTATCTATCCTAGAATAACATCCAAGAGTGTATTTGATATCGTTAGAATCAAGTTCAGCAAAGATCTTTCTTACAAATCAAACGAATTTATGTAATAATCCCGATTTGTTGGTATAAATCACAAATATTGCAGCTTGATATTTCCCTCTACAAATACAAGTGTACTCCCAACAAGCAATGTATGTGGCATTAAATATTGTACTACATACATTTCATATTAATTCCAACAAATTTTTTAAATTTCTTGTTTTTGTTGCCATTTTAATTTCATTATTGGCCATTCGCTTGAGCCCCATGTCGCTGCTGTAAAAGCATAAGTATGTAATTAAAGTTTAGCAAAGTTCATCTTCCATTGGGCATTACCAAGCCAATGCATATATATAAAAAGTTATGGTATACATATATATATATATATGAATCTATGTATATGGTTGGCGCTTTGTAACCGCTAAGGCCTTTTTTGGCCGAGCTCCTTATCCAATTTCGTAATTTTGCGTCTTGATGTTTTCAAATAAACGGAGGGACGTACAATTATTGTGAGCCGCCTCCGAATGGAACCTGTAGGATTTCTATGAAGAGCTTTTATTTTTATGTCAGAAATATATTCGGTGGTAGAAAAACTAATTCTCAGTAATTTTCGATGTTGGTCGAACCAGGAATATAGTCCTGGCCCCCGAAAGAAGAATGGCAGTACATAATGCGGCTATTGCGTCCACCAAGCCCGTTTGTTAGAGATATTTAATTGTAGCAAGAATGTTGCATTTATGCTATGCTATGCTGTGCTCAAGCCCAAGACAATAATGCAAGTCTGGGCGTGCGGTTAGTATTGAATAACTGTAAATATGTATGCTTGTAACGCGCTAGTTGCCTGCTTGCTTGCTTGCTTGCTTGCTGACCCAGCTGCTGTAGTATTTATAAAGCACATAACTATAAGCGTATGCAAAAGTGAATCTATTTATACACACACACACACATATGAGTATACATGTTTTGTTTTTGTTATTTTTGCAACCAATTTGTTGGGCAAAAACATTTTATGGCTCAAATGACACCGACGGCGGTGTTAATTTAAACTGTTTACTGATACTCATACGCCCCGGTGCACATATGGGCATACATGCATACGTACATACTGACATACGTATGCCTCCACTCCACATGCAGCTAAATGCAAATATATATGTATGTTTGTTTATGAAATTAAATTGAGAGCTCTGCTCAACAACAGCTCACTTCCAGCTGCAAGCAGTGTTGTTGTTGCTGTAGTTTTGTAAACATTTGTTGTAGCAATTTGGAAAAATCTTATTTAATTGATTTTTAAGCTAACACTGTTGTACAAAAATGACAACAGCACCAAGCACCTAAAGCAGTGTATGTGCATACATTTTATATGTATCGATATTAGTAGTAGGAACAGTGGTGGTAGCAAAGGTATAAGTATTTATACTACTAATAGTAGTAACATGTAAGTTGGGTATTAATGCAACAAGCTTTTCGGCAAATTCGATTCGCTTGTACTAAGTGCTTGAACGTTACAACATTGCTGAGACATAATGTGCAATAATTTTTGTTGGTAACATCAAAACCAACAACTAAAATTGCATATTACAATACTACACACGCACACACGCACACACATATACAGCCAAGCGCACAGGCAGGCAGGCAACCAACGAAATATTTATAAACTTCCCAACAAGCCACCGTGCAAACGAGTAACCAACCATAAACACCAAAAGCTAACTCACCAAAATTATTTCTGGTTATTTCATTGGTAATGGCAACAACAACAACACGTACAGTGAATATGTTGCAGGTCTGCCAAAAAATAGTACTGTGGCATATGGCAAAATTTAACACAAGGCCTGTTACATTTAATGATAGCGAGCTATAGAAACTTACATACATACACACATAATTATAGCTTTTGGTTATATACAAGTATACAAGAATTTACGTTATAGTTCATGTAATTCAATTTGCATTGTTATATAAAAATTACTGTTATAGCAAACAGCTGATTTTCTGTCACACAAAGCTGTAATATGGCTCTTATTTTGTATTTTGTATTTTGTTGTTGTTTATTACCGCTGAAGCGATTTTCGTGCTGATCCTTCTCCTATTTTATATTTGCAACTTGTTGCTTTCCAACAAAGAGAGTGGTGTACAGTTTTTCTCAATTCACCTACAAGCGGCTGATGTTGGTTTTTATAAGGAGCTTTTAGTTCAGATCAGAAATATACCCCGAGAGGTTGTTACACCCTGCCAAAGGGCGATCGCAAATAAAGAAAATGTTATTTTCAGTTGATTTCCTATTATTGTTCTGGTCAGAGTACGAACTCATGATCATTCACTTGAAAGCATGCACTCTCAGCCATTCATCTGCCGCGTTCGCCTTGATAAAAACACAGTTGTCAGTTTTTGTTGGAGTTTGAAAGTGATTATGTTCATAAACCAATTAAAAGAAACTTAAGGCTTTTGCCGTAAAATACTGACTGCGCTCTCTCAATGTGCTTGCTTGACAGCTTTAAAGCTCTGTGGATTAAAGAATGTACAGAATTACTATAATTTTATGTCGATTGGTGACATTAAGTGTGCCCAGGTAACTCCAGATTTAAGCAAGTCAACGAAGTAGTTGTTTTCCTCTTCCTTCGTATTCACATATTATCCAAGTTGAAACCTTCCATTGTAGGCTAAAAATAGTGCTTTGAATTGTCAGTGAGAGTGTTGCCGTTGAAAGAGCGCACCAGAGAGTTCCTTTTTTGTATGTAATGACCTCTTCTCAATTATTCGAAGATTCCTGAACCCCCAAATGTGGCTGCTCATTGCAGCAGAATATTTTTTTTATAAAAATCGTTTTCCTTTTCTTTTATTTAGGTATCCAATCGACGTATCTTTATGGGAACTTAGGTGTAATTGGAAGTGCAAAATACGCCATAATGACCAGTAAGAAAGTCCCACCTCTTGAGAACGTCAAGAACGTGTTCTGCGGCTGGACGTTTATGGTGCACCATCTTCACTCAAAGCAAGAAACGTGGCCACGCTTGAATCACCATTTATGTAGTAGAGTTCAATAATTTAAGCACGTTGTGTGGTTGTTAAGCGATCCATTTTCATAAATTCTTTGCTCTCAGCTAAAACAAAACAAGTTTGGTTTGAAATGTATGTTAGTTGGTTGGTTGAAGTAGATGGCGGGCATCGGCACACCAAGGCTTGTGATACCACTGAGGATCCCAAAAGACCCCACTCGCTAATCGAGCCAGTACGTGGAGTATGTGAAACTGAGCAGTTGTTGTATCTTAGCCCCCGTTATCTCGCTCAGGTCTCCAAGGGTTGCCCCCTCCCCATAGACTTCAGCCTACTCCTCCAAAGTGCGAGGCATTCGAAAAAAAAAAAATACCTTAGAGTTTCCAGTGCTTATTTCTCTCTGCAACTTCTGCAGAAATTATTAAATGGCACGCCCGATCTCTCAGCGCGCCTGACTAATAAGATATGTCCGGTAAGAGGGCCTATAACCGTAGATATATCCTTCCTTTTCAGCTCGAGTAGGTCACGTGACTTTCTACTGTTTCATTCTGGCCATAATGTCCTGGCCAAATTACATGTGTTGAGGCTTCTCCATATTGAATTGACATCATTAGCGAATAAATCTCTCATATTGAGCTTGCAAGTGGAGAGCGGCATGCCCAAACTCTTCCATATGATGGCGAAATTGGAAGAGAAGCGCCCTTACTTGCAAGCTATTCCGCAATCTCATTACCCGGTGTGTTACTGTATAGCACTGTACTTTCGAGATTCATCTTCTCAAAAGTATTTTTTTTTTGCATTTAGTATTTCTTATTCTAATTTTAGACTAGTCCCACATAGTACATCGTTTTTACATAATTATGTATGTTTTTTCCCCTTCTGCATTCAAGCAATATTTTCACATATTTGAAACATACATTTACACAAATATTTATTTCATTGTTAATCATCGCTCTCTTTACAGTTACAACATTCATTGTGTCAGCACTTGTTAGTCACGAGAATAAATTGGATATGGTACATGTGCAGAATTCAACATTGGCTGGCGGCGTTGCCATCGGCACTGTTTGTAATTTACTAGTTGGATCGCATGGCGCTATATTAATTGGCATCATTGCCGGTTGCATTTCAGTGTTGGGCTATCGCTACCTCTCGGTAAGTACAAAATGTGACCCGAAAAACCACTAGGATATTCTCTTGTCATGTTACAAGTTCATATTGTAATTTCTTTTTGCCGTTGCTAGCTTTGTTTGCGTAGTAAATTTACATATGTATGCATATATATATGTGAGTGTAGTAGTGGTATGCTTTTAAACTCACTTTGTTGCAAGTGCCTTCTGGTTATTGATAAGTTCTCTGTTTTATTTTTTTTTTTTGTTTTTTTTTTTTGCTTGCCATTTGTTTGCCATTGTTTGTAGGCTGCACTAATAACAGCAATGCATTAGCGTACACACAGCGTGAGTGTGTGTGTGCATGTGTTTGTATAGTATGGCACATTTCTACCGTTGCTAATTAGTGAATTTGAAATTTTGACCTAAACCATGTACAGTCTACCCACCACGCCCCACTAGCACACATTACGTTAGGCACTCTGTGTACAACCAACCATGCAATTAAGTGTACGCACAACCGCGCAGTCGCTGAATATTGCAAAATTCACTGCATCACTTGCATTTCAAAATGCTCACAAATTATGTTCCATTTTGTAGTTTATTGAATTGTGTTGGGAAATAAATGCATTTGGTTTTGGGGCGTATTTTCACAGGAATTCCATCAAAGCTGTGGTGAAGAGAGTGTGTGTTTTACGAGGTTGTGCATATACTGGCGATTATTAATTGAATTAGGGCTACTTTCAATTTTATTGTTTAAAAAATTTTCAAACTAACGTACAGCAAAATGAAAGCTTGTCAATAATGAAATATGTGAAGACCTTCATGTGGCACTTACCTGTTTTATTTTACTACAAGAAAACCAATTATGAATTCAGAAAATATCATATATTCTCATATCATCAACCAATTTGAAATAATATTATTTCGATAAACAAAAGATTTTTTATTAACTTAACAGTGAAGACCTTCATGAGGCACTTACCTGTTTTATTTTACTACAAGAAAACCAATTATGAATTCAGAAAATATCATATATTCTCATATCATCAACCAATTTGAAATAATATTATTTCGATAAACAAAAGATTTTTTATTAACTTATCATTATTAAATCCAATCACATATTTTTTTTACTATTTTGGAATATTTATTCGACTAATTATTTAGAAAGGGAATGATGAAGAGTATTTTTTGCAATGACATACCACTGTTAACATCTCAAGTGCTTTTTATTATTTTATTTATTTTCATTATTTATTTTCGAAATTATTGGGTGTATGCATTAATTCGTGCGGTTTTCTAAGAGAAAGCTCTACTAGGTAATTTCGACTTAGACGACGGACGGCCAAAAAAATTTCAAGACGAAGAATCGGAGACATTACTTGACGCAGATGCAAGAAGAACTTGCAAAAGTATTTCCTGGGAAATTGGGTGCCTTATGAATTAAAGCCAAGAGACGTCGAACATCGATTCTGCATGTCGGAAATGTTGCTTCAACGCCACCAAAAGAAGTCATTTTTGCATCGGACTGTCACTGGCAATGAAAAATGGATGCGTTATGATAACCCAAAGCGCAAGAGATCGTATTTGAAGTCCGGTCAACCATCGAGATCCACGGCAAAGCCGAATATCCATGGTGCCCAGGTTATGCTATGTATTTTGTGGGACCACAAGGGTGTGCTCTATTATGAGCTATTGAAATCGGGTCAGACCAGCTTTGTAGCCCAGACATAGCACCTTCCGATTACCACTTGATTAGATCAATGCAGAATGTCCTCACCGGAGTGCGCCTCACTTCAGGGCAGAGTATCAGAAATTGGCTCGATTCTTTCTTGACCTCCAAGTCGGAGAAGTTGTTTTGGTATAGGATCCATAAACTGCCAGAAAGATGGGCAAACATCGTAGCTTCCGATTAGCAATACTTTAAACATTAAATGTATAACAATTTTTTCACAATAAAGTCTTAATTTTCGAAGAAAAAAACCGCACGAATTAATGCATACACCAACATATATATATTGTATATATATATTCTCAAATAAAGTTTGTGTTTCCAAATATTTCGTTAGCTTATATTTACGTACGCCCGTTACAGCCAAATCGTATTCGATCGAATTTTATTATAATGAAAAAAATCTCAATGGATGATGCAGAAAGCGACAAGCTGCACGCATAAGAACCTCTCAATTCAATTCTTTTTCTGTTGGTCCAAGCTGAGTTCGAATTGATGGTTTTGCTGTAGCATCTTTTGTGTCAAAATTTCTCGAACAAAAACGACGAAACCAAAGTTGTTCATGATTAACTGTTACAGTAGCAGGACCATAAACATTACTCACATTTTCAGTTGCCTGACTTTTGAGTTTTGCCTTTAAGAAGAAGAAGAAAATTTTTAGAAAATAGCGTATTTTCTTGCTGCTGGTGTACATCTACAACACGCGCTCAAACACTACTGATTTGAGTGATCAACATTTTCTTCCTTTCCTTTTTTACTACAAAATATCAACTCTCTGATGCCATCCAACCTAATCCAATCGCGCTCACGAGATACAGATCACCGAAGTAATTTATTGCAAAAATAATGGATTGCTTTTTACTCGACCTACTATTTATTTCTTCAAAAAAAAAAAGAAACGAGTTGTTTTATAGAGCATAAAACCATTAGTGAGTAGCAGATGAATGAGCATTACTCATACGCACCGTACGCCCCCAAATAATGTTAACGAAAAACTTTACAAATTTTATGCGCAATATATGTAGACAACAACAAAATGAATTACACATATGAATTTAAGTATCGAACTTTCTAAGCGCTTATATATCTATATTATATATTCATACATGCATACAAGTACGATATTTTCTGATTTTGTCCTTCATACAAAAAAGCTGATAAAACCTATATTTGTAATTATGTATTGCAAGAATGTATATGCTTATATGTTCGTGTGCAACTATGCTGGGATTATGTATTGGTTATGAATTTACTACAGCAATTACAACAAGTACTACACACTGTGGAATATCAGTAAATATATGTATGTATATGTGTAGTGGGAGCATACTGAACATTTTTGGGTCGAGCTTGTTTGTTGCTTCTTGTGACGCTCATTCAATTGTACCCTTGGTATTTCATGTTTTACCCCCAAACAGGTACTGTTCTTGTTGTTGTTGCTGTTATTAAATGTGTAATTTTCATCAGGACATTAGATAAGCCTACATCGGAGTGTAGAAGTAGTGCCGCATACAAGCGTTCATTTATTTATTCAAAACTAAAAAAAAAGCATTGGGGCTAGCAATAATAAAAACAACAACAGCAAAAACAACCACAAGAGAAGGGTCAAGTAAATGGAGGAAACTCTGTTAGTCAACCGAGAGTAACAAGAATCTTTATTATAAACAAAATTTACTAATGGCAATTTCGGTTTTTGGTTCAATAATAAAGGGAAATTTTAATTAAAATATTTGGCCTGAGCGTATAATAATAAAGCGTCATGCCCCTTAACACATTTCTTGAGTGTACATAACTATTTTGTGTAAGAAATATTTCATTATTTTTCGAAAAGGCAATGAATTGCATATTTTCAACCGAGAACAAACGCACACATATACCCAAATACAAAACCATTTGTTGAGTGAATTAATAAAATATTTTTGTTTTTGGTATAAAATAGTTTGTTAATTTATCTATGTTGTTTATTGAGGGTAAGCATTGCTACAATTAAAACTATTCCTTTATTAGCTTTCGAACAGCACCTACATATGTATGTGTGTGTGTGTGTGTGTGTAAATGATTGTAAGACATGTCAAAGGAGTATGGATTTTTTTATATTATTACAAATAGTAATCAACTTTTATAAAGAAGAATGGGGTAGATAAAATTTATTGTAAATATTTGCGTTCCCTTTGAAGTGAGTTTTCCTCTGTAAATACACCAGAAATATCAAATATCCAATTAATTTCAGATGTTTAAAAAAGTGCAATGCAAATATTTTTATGCCATAAAATAATATAAGCTTTCGAAGTAGCCAAAGGCACCAAACGTCATCAGTAAGTTCCGCATTAAAAATTTATAAAATTTAAAAAAGAATAGAAAAGAAGTTTAACAAGAATTTTCAATTTAAAAAAAAGCTCTATTGGAAGCTTAAAGCCGAGAAGAAACAAGAAACAACAGCTGTCAAATAGGAAAAAATCGGTTTAATGGGTGTGATATGATATAATATTCCGACTTTGATCCTTTCCAGTACCAATATGTCATTCACTGCATGTGTATAAAATACTAAATCTAGTACTTCAATATGCTTTTTAACGGATTTTTTAACAAAAGCCTCATATCTGAACAAATCGGTGGTATGGAAGTTTTATTTTAGATTCCGATCATTTTCAATGCCATAATGTTAACCACAATAATTGTTTTCAATATTCAAATTCACCACTTTTAAATGCGTTTTTACGGATTTGTGACGCAGAATCTCAAATCCTAAGGCTCGGTCCCATATATGGACTGACGGGCATGGCTTAATCAACTCAACTTGTCTTTTTGATAAAAGTGATTTTATTATTATAAAAAAAATTAGAAGTTTTTACTCTGGAAAGAGTTTTTGAACGTCATTTTTGGTCTCTGACATTTTTTAAACATTTTTGGGACTTTTTTCATAGCAAAAATGTATTCAAAGAAAATTAGTTTCATTAACAAACTTAGTTAAATTTCTTTTAATATTTTTGTTCGATTTTTTATGAATATGTCCTTCGCTAAATTATACCGAATTCGCGTTTTTTGCACCAAAATTTATTTTTATTGCCATCAAAAACATTAAAATTTGAATCAAAGGCAGCCTTGCTCAAAACATTTGTGTATATCATGATCTTGGGATCAGTCTAGTAAAACGAACTACTTTACTAAGCACTTAACAAAGAAATATTTATTATATAATTGTTTGGGAGTAACCCAAAATCATTGATTTTTACATCGAATCAAACTATCCATTTTCCGGAGGCCCAACAGCGGCATTGCTTTGAGCTTAACTAAAGCAAGCTGTGTTTGGG